GCCCAACCAACTGAGCCACCCAGGCGCCCCTAATGTAGTAATTTTAATAGAATTTGATTTAGTCTTATGTAAGGTAATGCACTTGTCATATTTTACTTTAAGAAACTGGAAAGACACAGATTTTCACACTATATAAAAACAACATTCAGTCTATTTTTAATTATTACAAATGAGAGTCCCGTGAATTAAGACCCTCAAATCCTACTTCAAAAACTCAAAGTGGAATCCAACATTCAGAATTGACAATTGAGAATCCTAGTGAGAGTCCTGGAAAGCATTTACAAATAAAGTAAGGTTTGGCCCTTTAATAAATGTTGGTTATGTCATCAATAAAACCAATAAAAATATGTATGTAAAAACATACACATTAATTATCAATGTTAAGCAATTTTGCTAGGAGGTGAGAAAAATCCAGTAAAGAATGTTAGTTCAAAACTCTCTAACAAATGCCAACATAAAGAAGACAAACCTGATATGAATTGAGGTATTAACTTCCTTATTAGACATAAATATATGATAGAGTTAATCATTTAATTCATATAAAGGGAGACGTTCACTTCAAGAAGGCTTTAAGGCTGACAGGTGTCCTATTACGTGCTGTAAGTACTCCAAGACCTAGTGACAAAATTCCTGTTGGAAACTATTGATTCTAGCATGCTTTTTTTTTTTTTCAATTTTGTCATTTTACTGCCTACCTTCTGCCTGCCTCATTCTCTGATTACATACAGTGAAAAGGATGTCAGTAGAAACATATTAAAGCATATATTTAAATAGGTTGATACTTCTCTCTTTGTTCTAAAAATAAAAGAGAGAACCAAGAACTTTGACTGATTATAAAAGCCTTGCATATGTAATCTCCATATTTTGATTAGCTGTCTCTGCCAGAAATGCAGGTGAATATTAGAGGTAATCTCCTACAGGCAAGAAATTAAAAGTTCATGCAACCAGAACCACCTTTTGCCAACACACCAAAATACATGAAGCGTAAATTTCAATTTCAGGTTATCACAAAATTCACAGTAGGTTAAAAATAAGATAATATTATGATAGCACACAAAGCCACTTATTCTAAAATATTATATAAAGAAGTTCTTTCCTTTTACTCAAACACTATTACATTGTCACACACACAAAGCCGACATGACAAGAAGCGTTAAGCTATTTTGTTTTCGCTGAAGGTAAGTATGACTTTCAAAGAAGGTGACCATCTTCAAATTATAGGAAGGAGAACTAAACTTTGATTCTGCACACTCTGATCCCACTGAATTATTTTTAAACATTGTCTTTCATTTAAACTTCAGTTTGCTCTATTCCATTTAAAAGTTATTCTGGGTTTGGTTCTGGAAAAGATGGAATAAATATGTTCCATCTTATCACTTTTACTAATTGCAATGAAAAACTCTGGCTAAAAAACCAGATCGGATGACTCTATTAAAATTATAAGAACTTGAGACACAACCCTCTTTTTTGTTTGTTTCTTTGGAGGTTTTGGGTTTTGCTGTCATTATGGTTTGTTTCTTTGTTTGTTTTGCCTCCTATAAATTCTGGCCTGGGTGCTAGAGTAGACCAAAAGGTGCAACTGCCAATAAGTGCAGACAGAAAAGCCCTAAGAAATGTCTGCCTTTATAGAGGCCCAGGGAAAGGACAGAGGATCTGGGAAATAATCCTTTTCATTTTACCTCCCTGCTCCAGGTGAACACCAACAAAGAAGCAGTGCCCTTCTTCCTTCCTACAGAGCTGTAGCAACCATATTGACTCTCAGCACCCTGCTCCAAGTGAATGCCAGCAAAAGAGCTGGGTCCTTCCCCTTCTCCACTACTGGTGTACAGCCTGTGGGATGAAACCCTGAGGGACCCCCGCCCCAAACACATGCACACACTCTAAGGGAGCCTAGAAAGATTCAGAGCCATATGCGCCGCTGCCCCCTCCCCCCCAAGAGCAGCTATCCAGTCCCTGAGTAGATCCCTAATTTGCTCTGCTCTACACTAAGCAAGTGCTACCAAAGAGACAGTCTCATCCTCTGCCCAGGGATGCTGTGCACGTACAACATGCAGTATTGACCCCTGATAAGAAGACAGGGAACACAAAGCCCCAACTTTTTACCCAAAAGAACAGCAATGGGGATCCTTGGAAATCAGAAAGTGAAGAGTAGATTATGGAGAGGAAGGAGCTGGAGAGAAAGGGATATTTTAAATCTGTGTATGAAGTCCTGAGCCTACCCCAGATTCGTGCATGCATGAATCCAACCAGATTCAGCACAGTGTAGATTCTGAACACTTAACTCAAGTTTCAGATTGGCCTCTAGGAGAGACACAAGTGAGATGGACCAAAATAGCACTGCAAAGACTGAAAATCAAATTGACATTGGAACCACAGTCCACAAAAAGTGAGTAAGGACAGGTGGTCTGTTCTTAACTAAAATAAGTAATCACAAGAACACAAATCCAGATGATTTAAACAGGATCCAGAATCTCATAATGTAATACTCAAAATATCTAGGATAAAAATCTAAAGTTACTGGACATAAAAGGAATCAGGAAAACCTAAACATCTCTTAAGAAAAAAGACCATCAATCAATAGATGCCAATGCGAAGATGACCCAAATATTAGAATGATCAGACAAAAATTTTAATGCAGCTATTATAATGGTGGCAGAAGGATAAAACTTTCCTGGATTCCTCATTGCTCCTATAAAAACCTCTAGCCTCCTGAGAATTTTCAAATACCATGAGAATTTGATCTATTGCTGTTTGTCAGGTTAATGGCTCTGATCTGAAAGGATAATAAAACTTTTCTAATTTCCCTGGGAAGGCAAAATTATTAAAGTCTGGACTAGACTAGATCCCTAGGTTAAACTCACAGTGTGCTGGGGAGACTGGCTCAGTAGCTTCCTAGGTATTTACATGTCAAAAAAAAGATGAAGCCTCAGAACTTGGAAACATTTCTAAATTTTAAGAGTTGAGACACACAGGGCTATCTGGCTCCTGGAGAGATTTTATTTACATATCAAAGAGTTGGAATTTGGAATAAGGCCCTTATGTTTGGAAGGAGACCTTCTGATGAGGGGTGGAAGATGAATGTCTCCTTGCTCTTCATAAGCCGACAAAAATTATCTTCCTCATCTCTCATCTATGAAGTGTCTGGCACTTATGTGCGACCGAAGGCTAGAACCTAAGAGGGCAATGACACACTAATTATCAAGAAATCTGTCTTTGACCCATAACACCTCATTTGCACATTCAGTATAAAATTAACAAAAGATGAGTCTTAAAAACTCAACAATAGCCATGGCGCAAGAAGAATGGGCAAACATTCTTGGAATAAAAGGAAACACAGAAGTTTTCAGTAAAGAAACAGAAGCTACAAAAAAAGAATGAAATGACTTAAAAGATAGGAGATGGGGTATAGGAGTGGAATGAAGAACAGGCAAAAAGAAAACTAATAAACTGATAGGCATAAATATATGAATAATTTGTTTAAATGTAAATGATCTAAAAACATCAGTTAAAAGATAAAGATTGTCAGATTGGATAAAAATAAAAATAAGACCCAACTGTATGCTATCTACAAGAAGTCCATAGGAAGCATAATAATCTAGATGATGGATCTGTATGGATCCATAATGATCCAAATGAAAGGATGGCAAAAAATAAATGATTCAAATGCTATTCAAAAAAAAAAAAATGGAATGGTTATGTGATTACCACACATAACTAACTTCAGAACAAAGAAAATTACTATAGATGTTTAAAAAAAATCACCCAGGGGCGCCTGGGTGGCTCAGTTGTTAAGCGTCTGCCTTCAGCTCAGGTCATGATCCCGGGGTCCTGGGATCGAGTCCCGCATCGGGCTCCCTGCTCTGC